GGGTGGTTCGTGCCTCCCCTCTTTGAACTGTAAAAAGGGACCGTATGCATTCCGAAACGTCGGGGCAATGCCCACTCAAAGTTCTAAAGATAAGAAGGCGCTTCAAAACACGTGTTTTCTGTTTTCTTCGGGGCTTGAATTTTCTGCAGGCAAATGGTGTCTCCAAAAGGGTGGTTGTGCATTTTCTTCTAGACAGCGGACATACAATGAGCACTGAAGTGGTGAGGAGCACACGGCTCATTAGTCAAGGCGACCACAAACCGCGGAAGCTCTGCAGCAGAAGCACATGGCGATATTAGTTTAAGCACATACGTACGCTGCGTTTCCTGCATTTCTGAGTATGCCTTATAGCGTGTGTGCCGCCAGCATGGTCGCCAGCCACCCCACAATACCGCACAGAATACAGAGACCCCGAGCAAGCACGACTGCTATGCAAAACCTACAGTTGCGAAGAAGGGAGCAGTAAGGCGCCCTGGTATAATGAGGAAAAATAGCTTTGGAAACTTGCGAAAGGATATTGGTGGAATTAACCTTTTCTTGCTTTTTTTTTTTTTTCAGATGCTATGAGTCACGTCTCCTTCTTTCTTGCACGTGGTACATTGGACGAAAGCCACCCATGCATGCATACGTTCAGTTCACTCGCTACAACTTGCGCTCTGCGTCTGCTGCGCGAAGGTACATCGGCAGTGCGCTTCCAAACTAACCACAGGTATCGCAGAAGTGCCAGTCAAACACAATCCTCACCAACCTTCTGAAAAAGATTCCGGATTGAGATTCAAGACACGCAGCAACAGCACCAGAATCCTCGATTACAGCCAAAAAGGAAGCTATTACTCGGCACTTACGGCCGTCAGATGCGTTCATCGATTAGTCATCACTGATGATGCTTCTGTCGCCAAACTTGAGCACCCGAATGACATTGCCAATCGGTAAGCGTAGTTACAATACAGTTGATCCGTAAGCTGAGAATTTTACAACATGTGCGCTGGGTTGAGCAGTACATATTCTTGATAATCAATACCGGAAAGCTTATAATTATTATTTACGGTGCACTTTCATACTTGTAGTCTGACGAGGATCAAAGGAAGTTATATATATAAGATATTCTATTTGCATTATCCACTATATCCTCAGTTCTAGTTTTTTAGCTGCTGAAGTGGCCAATGGGGCTTGTTTGTATTGCATTTACTGATTACCCAGGTAAGAAGACAAAATACACAATAATTGGGACACAAGAAAGGCACACTGCACCAGGTGTCGCCACGTGTCTTTCTTGCGTTCCTTTTGTTTGCTCTGACATAAAAGTCATATTCTTTTTAAACAGCATTGTTTGACCGCTAGCCGGCCGACGCGTCAGCACCAGAATCACTAAATGGAGCTGAAAAGCTAGAAAAAATAAGTATTTGCCAGACATCTCTGTTGAGAACTATGTTATGCCTTGTTTTATTCGATTTTTTTGTTTATTTTGTACATGCACTGCTCCATCGAACGGTTTCTTGGCCTTTACAAGCTTTTTCAACGTCTCCCGGTAAAAACACTTCGATATCGTTGTCATCGTCATCTCATCGTATATAATAATAATAATAATAATAATAATAATAATAATAATAATAATAATAATAATAATAATAATAATAATAATAATAATAATAATAATAATAATAATAATGTTATTACTAATATTACGATTATTATTATTATTATTATTATTATTATTATTATTATTATTATTATTATTATTATTGCAGGTGATATAACCTATAATATTTATTTAGTGTGTGGTACTTTACTTTTATCTCAAGTTTCCACCTCCCCAGAGAGAAATCATGGCTGTGCTAATGCCTAGGTGCTTCTCAATTCAGAACCCTCAGAGACCAACCTTAAACCGTCCAGCATGCCGTTGACGCTGAGCGGAAGTCACAGCTCCCAGCTGCCAATTAGTGACCCAATTTAAGCAAATGTGCCTTTCCATCCGCAAAAAACAAGAAAGTTTTTTTTTTCCACACTGATCAAGAGGGTTAAGCTTTTGCTGCAGTGCAGGGACAGTAACAGCACTTGCTCATTTTGAACTTGTGCTGCAATTTTGGTAATAACACTGCTAGTGATTGAAGTCTTTTGTAACATGCTGTGAAATACATTCAGAGTGTATCAGCAGAATTAGCCTGCCCTATACTACTGAGCCAAACTGAAACAAATCGTCGCACCCCAATGTGCACGCTCCTCCCCCATTAGTGGAGTTCCTCCTCCCTTATGACGGACATCAGATAATATGAACCAACTTTGCCTGATCATGACAACCCGTCGTAACGAGAGTAAACTGCATACCTAGTTTGTTTCCTTTTAAATTACAGTTTTGCATCGCACGGCGCAGTTTGGAAGTCTATGAACTAAGAAATCCCCACGGCAGTAGTTTTGTTTGGGGCAAGCGACAAATGGCTAGTCGGCAGAGGGCGCCTGACTAAAAGGTAAGATAATGAAAAGTGGCTGCGAAGATGAGGTACTAGGCCATTTGCCTCTTGAAAGTGACAGCTTTTTATGTTCGGACATAAGCTCCTCACCCAGAGCGGCTGGCGACTGCTGGAGCTACGAGGATCGTGAGAGCTAGCGCGTGATCAGCGACTAGCACACCTATCAAGGCAGAGGCTGAGTGGTGCACGTACATCCAACTACAGCAGAAAATTGGCTCCACTACCTACTGACTGGAACTTATATCCAGAGGTGGTGTGGGGAGTCATCTACGCACAGTGAACCACAGGTCAATCTCTGTTCCATTTTCTCTGGGAGCACCATGACGACTAGGGTGACAATAAGTCAGAGAGCAGATGGGACTACCGAAGATTAGGAGTCAGATTGTAATGCGGCATCGAAAGGTACAATTGGTGCAAATGTGGTTGCTAGTGAAAGCGGGGATCCTGCTGTCCAAGTTTGAATGAAGGAACTACAAATAGAGGGTTTGAATCTCCAAAGTGAGCTACAAAAATTGAAGCGTTAATCTCAGACAAACGTTGAGGTGGAGCGAAGTGACCAGTCTGGTTTGACCAGTATGCAGATCAGTTGCAAGCAGTTTTATGGTGTCGACCAAAAAAAAGCATTGTCAGTTTTGCCATACGTACCAGAAATTCGCGAGTAGAAAGGTGGCCGATCGAGTGCCAATCACTCCCCTCACACGACCGCAAACACTCTTCCAAGTAGTGTACCTTAACTGTGTCGGTCCTATAGAACCTGCATCAACGCGTGGCCATCGGTACGCTTTGTGCATGATTGAGTTATGCTTGAAATGGCCTGAGGTCGTCCCGCTTCAAGCTATGACCACGAGCGCAACTTGTCAGGCGTTGTTAGATTTCTTCTCACGGTACGAGGTCCAAGAACTCATATGCCGTGACCAGGGAACTAACTTTACAGCAGCACTAACTAGAGAGCTGACAGAAAAGCTAGGAGTAGAGGTACGCTTTTCAATGCCGGAACACCCGCAGACTAACAGCCTAGTAGAGATGTGGAACGGAACATTTAGGGCGATGCTGAAACATGTCTCTGTGGTGGTTCGTGCGCTCTCAGACACAGACAAGTTAACGGAAAAGAAAACATACCTATATGCACAAGAAGATTATGATCCCTCTGACCACCCAGTCCTTACAGTTTCATAGCCTATGAGTGTCTATACACATCCTGACGCGTTCGGTAACTATCGTTCGGAGACGACACTCACGGCGCTGATGACCACGTATCGTCGACGTACGCTTGAAGCAGGAAAGAGAGGTGCACTGACTCGTCCGGTTCAGGAATTCTCCGAAGCACAATGACTCCCCGTAGCGCCGAGACCACACCGCAGTCGGTTGTGCCCTATCGTGAACCTACACGTGGCGCCAAGACCACGTCGCAGTCGGTGGTGCCGGATTGCGAACCTACACATGGCGCCAAGGCCATGCCCTCAGCAGGGGCTTAGGCAGAATTTGTTTTTTTTTTTTTGGGGGGGGGGGGGGGTCACACCAACCCGACTGGGAGAGGGGGGGGGGGGCACATGCATCAGCCTACCTCTGTGACATGACTACCGGCGGTAGTTTCAGCTTGTGTGCATTTATATCAAAGTCAGGAGACGTCCCCCTCCCTCCCTTTCTCCTAATGCGTATGCTTGAGCGTAGAGTTAGTAAATGTAAAGCAATCACAGTAAAATGCAGTAAACTACAGGTACAGTCACCATTTGAAAAAACTAGTTTTCAAAAACGCATCATTTCGATGACCCGTCCGATTGGAGAAGACATCGTTTATCTCTGTTAAGCGTAGATGGCGCAGCCCTTGTCGCAAGGAAGTGAGTTTCACAAATCAAACACGGCTCTGCTTACAACGAGGGAATAAGAGGTATACATAGCATGTTTTTGTAAATTAATATTTGCATTTCGGCTTTGCTTATTTTGCTGAGCGAATAATTTCTTGCTGTCGATGTTTGTGACTGGATGCCTACGGGAATGATTTTTATTTGAAGGGGAGATGCTCCTCGAAAATACTTTTTCTTTAATATTATACCTAAAGTTATGAAACTTTGGTCATAGACTGAGTTTGTAACGCTGATTCCAAATATGCGCTTAGTTCTTATGTAGCTTTATTAGTTTTTGTGCAAGACACCTCTCAAGAGAAAAATATAGGGCTTTTTGTGCACATCTTTTTTCATAATAAATTTTTGTTTAGAGAAGCCTGCAATAGCTCATTTTACTGGTTAGGTAAAGTAGTATGTTAGGTACTACTTAAAATTTATTCAAATAATTTCTATATTTCTAAAAAAAATCAGGAATACCAAAAGTACATACTTTGTGTGTGGTGAATCAACATTTTAATTGTTTTCAAAAAATGTATAAGAGATATTTAAAATGCATATAGATATCGACATTCTACACACTTTGAAGAGGCTGTGTGCAAAATTTCATCCAGATCTGACCATTTGAAGTACCTGAAATGTGGTGCACAAAACGTAAAAAATGCTGAAAAGTACAAATGGAGAAAAATGCTTTTGAAAGTTTCAAACATCTGTATTTTTCAAAAACATAATGAAAGCACATGAAATTTCTTGCAAAAATAGAGCAATATGTCTCAAACACAGCACAGCTGTTCAGAACTCCCCTGGCCTATACGTTTGCCCCTCAGCACCCTCTCGAATGGAGTCCGTGAGACGCACTCTCTTCACCTGGTTTCGGCGATGGGCTCGAGCTTCAGCGGTTTGGCGGACGGACATTTTCTTCATTCTCCTCTGGTCACGGGAGCTTCCCAGGACAACAAGCTCTTCTGGTGGCCGAATACCAAGCTCCCGAAGCACTTGCTCAAAGCTGCCATGACCGCAGTTATACCACAAAACGGCGATGGCAGTTGCAGTTTCCACTACTGTCTTGGACACAAACTTCGTCTTCGGGCATAGTAACCAGATCTTGCTGTTGAGGGACTCGGCTGCATTTTGAGTCTTCCCTTGTAAGCAGCGGGTGAGAAGCTTCTTCTCCGTGAGACGCCTGTATATAGGCAGCAGAGCCTCCCCCTGTGCCTTTGTCAGAAGCGGAGTGTGGTCTGGCGCGGGTTCTCCAAGTGCTTCCGCCCGCTGGTGCTTGCACCATGATTCAACTCCTTCGGGGCAGAATTTATGGCTCTTGGTTGCATTCGTCGAACTCGAATGAAAAAGTGATGCCCAAATGGCACGATACATTTACATTTCCCGGACATTGCCCCTGTTGCTGGTGATGGCTATGTGGTAGTAGTTTTGCAACTTCTGTATTTGCCCGTCCTTCAACTTCTCGCCACGTGGAAGAGAAGTCTTGAGCTTGCGAATTGAAGTGCCCAGGCGCTTGGCTACGTGGTTGGTGCAATCTTCCTTCACGATGGATGTTTCACCGTACACTTTGGCCTCAAAGACAGCATTGAAGGCTTTGCTGTCCCCATCACTCAAAAATGTGGTAAAGCGCAACGGTGTCTCATATGAGGGAGTCCGCGTCCATATGCGCACTGCTGCCTCAGTTTCCATAGCATGAGAGGAGCAGTCAACGTTCTTCTCACAAACTGGGCCATGGTACGCCTGCCACACTTGCTCTTCGCTCCCGATGTCTTTGTGCCGGCTGCACGCAAGGCAGAAGTTTGAGAGAACCTCAAAATCGAGGCACAAGCCAGTGTCTACAGACACAGCTGTGCCAACGCCGTTATGGCTCTTGTGGCCCCGCTTTTGCCACGTACCATCAAACATCACGGCAACATCACTGCTGCCGACCATCTCTTTCGTGTGAACTCTCGCTTTCTCCATGTTTTCCTCCATGGCTTTCATGGCCGCAGCATGAACTTTCTTGCCGATCGCAATAAAGTTCTTGTGATGTAACGGCGTCGGCAAGCCAAGAATGGCGCAAAAACGTGAAAGCTGTTCGTGCCCGATGCTAATCGCGCGCGCAGCTACCACTGTCTTGACGTTCACGGCGAAGCTGTCGCGGGAGCTCCCACTCCGATATTCCCGGCTTCCGCTAGCACCGTTCGCAAGCTCACCAGGCACAACACGGCTCGAGGTGTGCACAGAAGAAAGTACCGATTCAGGGCACTCACTGTTCGCACAATGCAACTCAAGAAACGCCGAGAGACCCTTCCGTTTTTCGACCGGTCCACGCACCGCGAGGGTACAGGTGTGGCACGCAGGGCAAGCAGCTCCACTTATCAGCACCGTAAGCGCACTGATATCGCATATCACAGCACTCACAGAGTTCCGATCGCTTGCTGCTCTATCGTTCTCGAAGAGTCCAATCTTCACCTCCGAAGCGCTCACAAAGTTCAGCGCGGCGTCGATTTCGTCCGAGTGGCCGTTGTGCTGGTTAGGGCTAGCCGGAGGCGTCGGACGGCTGCTTCCCGCTGTCACTTTCCGTAGAGGTTTGCGACGCCACACTCGGTGCGGGACCTTCGCCCGAGCCTTCCGAGCTCGGAAATCGCGCTTTTTCGGTTCGTTCATTACGAAATAACTGAAAAAACGCAGGAAAAGGGCCACAGAGTTCGATCGAGTCGCCGTACGTAGTCGAGGACGAATGCAGGCTTCGGTGCTTCGCCGCAGCAACGTCTCCGTGTAGGCCAATGGCGGCCTCGCTAGAGCACCACGTGATTTAAATGTCCAGTAGAAATGCTTGAACAGGCGCCAAAACGTGCCTTTTTTTATTATTTTGGGCCAAAATGCGAAACTGAGGGAGGTGCTGTAGGCTAAACGAAGGCTTTCTCAACCTCTCCAAGCAAACAGCAATGGCGGGAGACGCCGCATTCTCGAGATGGAGACGATCGAAAGTTGCTGATTTGCGACGAAACTAGCACTTTCTCGAGCCACCGTGGCTGAATAAAATAGAATTTTTACTAACTTCTCGTTCGAATTTTGCCTTGATCTTTTGCGGAGTTGTAGCTGAATATACAAAGATAATTTTACAGGTAAAATCTCAAAACTGAAAAATTCCGCGAAAAACGCGATTTTTCGACGCGCATCTCCCCTTAAGCTCTATATGTCAAGCAGCCCTAGTCAACATTTTTTACTTCACTGCGTGCATCCGAGCATGCTTGCAATATGCAAAACGTATTTTTTTGTATGTTGTGCTGCACGTTGGCAACACAATTTTGCACGCATTATTTTTCAAACAGACTACCTCACAACCTTGGTTGACATTACAGTTGCACTGCGACTTTCGATAGCCATGAAGTACTCCAGTCGTAGAGGTTTTATCATGCAATATGCGAAGGCAAGGTAATCAATGTTGAGGTATGTTCGCTTGCTCCTAATCAAAAATGCACCTGGGACCAGACTATACCTACTCACATAGAAATAGCGTGTTTGCTGCGTATATGCGCTAGAAAACCTAAATACGTGCAAAAATGCATAATGTTATTTTTTGGAGATTTCCTCGCTCTGCTCCCTGAAACGATACCGTTGTGGCTAAGTGTACTACGTTGTTTACAATTGTGCAGCCGCAATTTCCTTTTACGTCAACAGATTCAGAACTTTACAGAGTATTTCACCGCACAGCATAGATATGCCATGTATACACTGTTCTAACTAGCGCGTGGCTTCATGTTTGCAGCACTTACGCTAGCGCGAACAAGAGCAGCCTCCAACCACTCAAAATCACGAGTAATTGGTTCACTAGTGATGAAAGAAGGAACTCCGGTCTTCTTCAGAGCATAGTGCATCTTAATCAATTTCTCAAAACGCGTGAACTTTCACGAGAACTGCCAGTGCATGCAACAAAAGTTTACTTACCCTCTACTGTGCACTACATGTGCTTGTCGGTTGTCTGTTTCGGGCATTCTGATGCGAGTTGCTGGAACTTACTGCTGACATCAACTCCTTTGCATTCATTCACGTTTGTGATTTGGCATCACAACGCAACAGAACCTACCAGCCTTCTGTAGGGACGCAATCACCAACGCGAGACCTTCCATGTGCGAAGTAAGATATGCATTGTAAGATTGTGGGCAAGCGCGACCTTCCCGACACCTAAATAGAAGCGGAGGAAATGAACGCTCGCGAATCTTTCCGCCAGGGGAGAAATGAGCGCTAGCGTTTAACACAAACTTTACCAACCGACGTGTATCATCGCTAAAGTTCCCGTTTCTCACATTGTGTGTTACTGCTCATATTTTTTCGAGCCTGTTGCTTCGTAGCAATGCGAAGTCACTTCTTGAAATATGCTACCTACACATATTGGTGGCTGGTTCATGTTCTGTGTCAATCAGCGCCCTTCTACGAGACTCGATGGCTCTGCCGAAACGCCATAAGGTAACGTTTGATTTTTATTTTTTGGAAGGTGACGCCTGCCCTAATGCACACTCGACAACTGGTGAAAAAGATACAGCAGCCGAAGAAACGGTTCCCAGCTACAGTGCTGCACTAGCAGACTACGACTCATGTGCCGGAATCACTTTTAAAATCTCCTAAACTTCTGAAATTGCAGCATGATGCATGCACGAAAACTGCAATTGCCGACGAAGACATTGGTCTTTGTGTGTTTATCAGGCCAAGATGTCAGGAAATGAATGATGACTCGACTAGATGACGTTTGCAAATGACGCCATAAAAGCCATACTAACTAAACCTTTCCCTCAGTAAGCACTAACTAAAGTTACAACCTCTCTCGCTAGAAATGTTTTCCTGGCTGGTCTTCTTCCCTCCTGATATGCTAAATATCAGGAGGGAGCTCTCTGCAAGACATTGCGCTTTTTTTTGTAAAAGAAAGTTCAGGCAAGGGAACTCACCGAGTATATGGTGCCTTTGTCCTCTTTCTATTCACGCATTGAAAGAACACGCGCGAAAAGTTTAGGAGCCACAACAAGAGTGGCTACTACAAGACCGCTGCTCTATGCGCGTGTCAATCTTCTTGTCGATTAACACTATTCCCGTGTTGCATGTCCAACCCCCGACAGTACCAGTGGGACATCTACCAACAGCGTCTGTGCTTGCTGGCAGTTGCTAGAATTGCAGCCTGACTTCTCTACCTGACTGCAATACTTCTGCGATGCGGCGTCTCGACATTATCGGAATTGAACCAACTGTGGAGAAGAAGAACAAGGCTTAGCCAGAACTTAAGACATTTGAGGAGAGCATAATAAACTTTCGTGGTTGGATTTCAGTGCCGCTGAATGAGCGAGGTGCAGAGATACCTTCAGTCAGCGTCAATCGAAGCTCAGCTGAGTGCTACACGCAAGCACAAACAAACAGTTGCAGGGAAGAATGTGAACTCCTGAACCAGGATGAACCGGCAGTTACAGCGTCCGTCAACGAAGAACGTGCAGGAGGAGTTGAAACCATACTGCGAATGGACAATGTATATTTTACGTCTTATCACACAGTGATCCACCGAGGTGCCATCACGACGCTTCATGCTGTGTTTGACGCTTCACCGCACGCGCTAAGTCATCTCTGCCAGAAGGATCTCCAGCTGAAGAGTTCAAAGCTTGACGCTGAGGTTGTGCAGACGCTCACGGTCTTTCGATGTCAGTCAACCGTCACCTGGAAGTTCGTGGGCAAAAGAATTTTTCGGTGGGGAGGCTGGTCAGAGCGTCATCCGATCCACAAAAGTTGCATTGAAGCGGTCATTTGGGAGCAACAATTTTAACGCTGAGGGACTCATGACTACAATATGTGGAGTTTCAACTGGTTGTCAAGAGTAGACTTCTTGTGTAACTTGACAATAGTCTAGAAAAGTCTTGACCACTGACACAATTACACTGCTTACTCGGAAGACGTGACGTAGACTTTCTGCAATGAGCTACCTCGTCCGGCTACAAGCATTTACAAGAGAGTAACTTCCCTGCCACACGCACTATGATGAGCGTCTCCCAGCGCACCTACGGGTCCGAGAGAAGTGGTCGTACCTCCCATTACGGCTATTCGTGCGCTATGGGACTGGTCGCGAAATGCCTCGGCTGCGTGCTGGTGATTGTGCTTGTGTGGGAACAGGCTACGCGCTTGTATGTGACTAGAGCGCATGCCGAGTGGCACTATAGCTGAACAGTAATACGTCAGCGCACCCAGTGAAGAGTTTGCGTGCATCTATACTCTACGACAGGCTGTTGGACAGAAAATCAAACACCCATTCGGAAGGATTATATTCTGAAAGGAAGTGAGTGAGAATCAGCAGCCTTGTCCCCTGAGGAATATGTTGATGATAATTGCGGACGGGCGGCAACAAGGAACAGAACGTCATAGAAGACAAGATAGAAGTGAGGCACGAGCAGTTGAAATAAATGGACGTTTTGGTCTTGTTGTAGGACTCGGGTCTTGAATACGCGACAATGGACAACGAAAAAAACCCCATCTTCCCACAGGGGGGACTCCAGTAAATGCGTCACGAAGTGGTGGGAGTATCGTGTGAATGTTGTGTAATTGGGTATGGTTTGGGAATGCTTAATAGTTATTTGTCTTTACTATTTGTATTTATTGAATGAAGGAGAAGTGTTGCTTTCAACGAGTGGTGGGGCACTGATGTTGGGTTGTGCTCCACTACTGGTTAAAGGTACTGTCACGGCCACTGCAAGAGCACCACGGCCACTGTCACAGCCACGGCCATCCAGCAGCCATGGCACTCTTGCTTCCCGCCCATCTACCCACTTGAGAAAAGCGTCAAGTTGAGCGAATACCAAGTAAAGATGCCCTTGACTGAATTACGAACGCTCGATCCAGTGACAACATACATAGGGTGGCCAGTGAACAGTTGTGCAGCGCGAGCAGCTGGTTTAACTAGCAGATGCTTTCTGCGTCGGTACTGCGAGGCAAGAGAGGGAGGGCAGAAGTGACAGTCGGAATGAGCATGCAGCACTTAGACGCGAGACGCAAGCATGCGTAGTAGGGGTGTAGACCCCTCCAGCAACACTAGATTTGCGAGTAGGTGTCACTACAAAATGCTCCGCATTTAAAAGAAGCGAATCCAGATACAGACGACTGTACATACGCTGAACAGGAATGATGGGATGCTTCTGACAATGTACTCTCGCTGCTTACGTCACGTATTTAGGCGTACTTAAATATGCTGTGCCTTTCTTATGGCTACAGTCGAACCTCGATATATCGAACGGCGCGGCGATCGCCAAATAGTTCGATATATCCAGAATTCGATATAAAAAAATCACGAAGAAAATGCGTCAACAGCTTGCTGAAAACGACCAACGAACCGTTCAAGCGTGGTGCCGTAAATACTCAC